CATGCCCTCCGCCGGATTAAAATCCATCAAGCAGATGGCAGCGTGGTCGTTGACCAAGCTCATGCAATCGCCTGGCTAGTGGTAAGTTTCTGATTCCCGATGTTCTAATTTGCTCACCGACCCTTCACAGTCCACTGCCCTTCAGCAACATGGAAGAAATGCCTCGGTCATCTCACCGTTGCTGCTGTCTGCTGCGGCCGAGGTCAGAGCGACCATGAACCAAGGCATCGCCCCACAGTGGGCTCAGGTGCAGGATAATGATACTCGGATGGAGTCCCACCCTTTCTTCCCGAAGACCGTCGGATATGGTGAGTCGGCGGTCATTCTGTCTGTCTTCACAGCTCAACGTCTTGACAGTGGCAGGAGGCACACCCGAATCTGCACCTCAAGTCGCCCCAGCTCCAGCTCCAGCTCCAGCCCCAGCTCCAGCCCCTGCACCAATGTTGGTCCCTCCGATCGAATCGCTCCCTACCGCTGGGCACCAGCACAATCTTCTTGTGCCTGGCACGATGACCGGCAAGGGCAAACAGCCTGCCCGCAGGACTCGGAGATCCCGAGAGGACAGCCCAAGCGCTGAGACGGGCCGGAAGAAGTGCAAGGTCTCAAGGCCCTTGTCAAAAGCCTTGGTCTCCGACACCGAGGATGAGGACGGTCAGCCAGGAGGCACCATTGTGGTTGTAAAGCTGGCTGGTCCGCCAAAGTCCAAGGTAAGCACTTCGGTGAATTCAATATCGACACCATCGCTGACTCATGGACAGGGCGTGACCAAAGGCGTCAAGAAGGTGAGATTTACCTTTGCCCACCAGCGATCACCCCTCAACAATTCTCAGACACATGCCGAGGACACCATTGGTCGCATGCCGGTGAAGGGCAAAGGAAAGGAGAAGGGCAAGGAAGTTGCCAAGCCCATTAGAGGGCGCCCACTAGCCAAGGCCAATGCTGGGGCCAAGACTGTGAGTTTTTATCTCTGCTCGGTCACTGAGTACTCACCGTGTGATAGTATGATCCACCTTGCAAGAGGTGTGTTGACGAGCCTTGCCTTGTCATTATCGGCAAGAAAGGGCAGGTCATGAGGTCCTGCGCCAAATGCAGCCTCATGAAGGTGAAGTGCGACCGACCAATGTCGGTCAATTCCGACACTCCTGCGCCGATGGCACACCCAAGGACCAGGGCTGCACTGGCCTCCAAGAAGGTTCCCCCGACGGCAACCCCAAGGTCCAAGTCCAATGGTCTGCTCAGGAGAACCAGAGCAACCTCATGGGCACGTCCACCGACTCCCATCTTGGAGTCTGAAGAGGAAGCTGTCAAGGGTACCGGTAAGCAATCATTTTTTTTATGATAATGTCCTCTAACCTTTGCTTCTAGATGTGTCCATCACAGGTGATGATGATGCCGACATGGAGCCTGCTGCTGATGCCCTGGCTGAGCCCGCAGCAGATGACAAGATTGTTGTCGATGAGCCTCGGGTCATCGCATCTGCGGATGACTTCCCCACCAATCATTGGGTGGAGCCCCACTCCGATGACTTCGTCATTCCGACGGCAGCTCCTGCGGCCGGAGATGTTTCCCTCCCTTTGGCATCTCTCCCACCTGACCATCAGCGCCATCCATGAATGTGTGGTTTCCCTGGCTGCTAAGGTCACTGCCATGGAAGTCGCCAACCAGAATACCCTTGCCAGGGTCGATGCGGTGCAGCAGGACTGCAAAACCCGGATCTCCTCGATGCGTGCGGAGCTTTCCTCCATGCAGTTCGATCTCGGCACCACTGTCAGCCTCGTCAATGGCCTGACCAGCCTGGTGGAGAAGCTTCAGGAGGCACAGACTGTTGCCAACCCATCCTTCCCACCACCAATGATGAGCAACTTCGGTGCTACCTCGGCCACCCCACAGATGCAAGCGATGGGCATCAGGTACTTGAACAGTGTGTACAGCCCTTCGGTTGCTACCTCGGCATCTGCTGCAGGCCCTTCGGCGTCTCACCCTTTTGGTCGCCTTGACATGCACGGTGACACATTCACATCTGGCCAAGCGTCCTCGGTGTCAGCACATGCCGGTCCTTCATCCGCTCCTGCTGTAGTTGGACCCTGTTCTGCTGGAACATCACCTGCTTCGGCCGCAAAGTCTCTCCCCTGATCATTCGGCTCAATACATAGTTGTACATAGAGCATGCGTCCGTCAGCAGAATTACCCCAGTATATCACGGACTTGTATTATTCACTTTCAAATGCAATTGTTTGGCCATTGATTCCATGTATATTCACTCTCTTTCCTGTGATATAAGTACTGACAGCAAGTTGGCAGAGTGTATCTCGGTCATGTGTTGCAGTTGGCACAGTATCCTTCAGTTTCTTGTCTTTTCAGAATTGACCGATTTATACTCCATATGACCGATCGCCCGATCTCGGTCACTGCATCACGCATGCCGATGAGATTCCACGCAACTGAAACTTCACCAACTCGTACAATTCACCGATATCTTCTTGCCATCGTCTTCAGCTCAGCAGTCCTCCCCTCATCGCACCGCCGCTTCCACGAATGGAGCCAATGGCAACCATTCTGGCACTCCTATGCCAGATGGCCACTCGGTCAGGCTGATCGCCCCACCCAATGGCATCACCGCCACGACTCTCAATGGCACAGCACATCAACCGACAGACGTGCAGATGTCACCTCCTGCGGAACCTCCCCAGTCCAATCAGACTGGCTCACCAGCGTGTCTCAAGGCTGAGTCTCAGCACATTCTGGTATCTGTCCCACTCAGTAGTTACCACATCCCTATGAATGGCTATGCCACCCTGCCTAATGGCACCATCATGCAGGTGCCGCGACCGCCAAATGGCTTCATGCAGCAATGTCTTCTGACTGAGTCATATTTGACCGAGTCGTATTTACCCGAGTGTCTTTTGACCGAGTCATATTTACCCGAGTGTCTCTTGACCGAGTGTCTTTTAACCAAGTCATATTTGACCAAGTCGTATTTACCCAAGTGTCTTTTGACCAAGTCATATTTGACCGAGTCGTATTTACCTGAATGTCTCTTGACTGAGTGTCTTTTGACCAAGTCATATTTGACCGAGTCGTATTTACCCAAGTGTCTCTTGACCGAGTGTCTTTTGACCAAGTCATATTTGACCGAGTTGTATTTATCCAAGTGTCTTTTGACCAAGTCATATTTGACCAAGTCGTATTTATCCAAATGTCTCTTGACCGAGTGTCTTTTGACCGAGTCATATTTAACTGAGGTGCTCTTAGCATGTATCTTATGCATTGGATCCTGGTAGATCCCTCATCCATCATATTTGACCGAATGTCTGTTGACCGAGTTGTATTTGACCGAGTGTATTTGACCGGGGTGGTCTTGGCATTTATATTATGGAGCGATTCCTGGTAATCCCTCATCCATCATATTTGACCGAATGTCCTTTGACCGAGGTGGTCTTGGCATGTATATTATGGAAGCTAGTCTATGAACACTTTCGGCCCATCTGTATATATCAGTACCACTGCCCACTCGACCCACTTGTTTCCATCATACATATATATATAGCTCTTGTATATTGCCTATCAAATGCAATAGCAAACTCCACACTTTGGACTATCGGCCCACCTGTTGGTATCAGGTACATACTTCATACACTACCTACCAAAATCAATAGAAAAGTCTACACTTATCTACACTACATACTATGGGCCCACTGTTTGTATCAGATACACACTTGAGACCGGCCCACCTGTCGGTATCAGGTACATACTTCATACACTACCTACCAAAGTCAATAGAAAAGTCTACACTTATCTACTACACCACATACTATGGGCCCCCTGTTTGTATCAGATACACACTTGAGACTGGCCCACCTGTATTTAACACAAAGATACATTGATGGGCCCACGTCGGGTGGCCTGTGTAGAACAGGGATATTTCAACCTCGGCTGTATGTTTTATACAAGGGTAAAGTGACTGCAGTATGTGTGTCACTGTGCTGCCCTTTGTCTCGCCACTGCCCTCCCACAGCGACATCCACTACACTCGTACCTGCAGCACATCGCCAAGTACCAGAACACCTCCCATCACCATTCATCCCTTCACAATCTCACAGCTACCTACCAACTCCTCTCCAAGAACATTGAAATGATTGACCCCATTAACAGATCAGACAAACACTGACCCAATGTGTATCACTCCCACATTGCTAGAGAGGAAAAGGACGCTATCAAGGAGCAGAAAGAATTACTGGACAAAGTACAAGTGTTCACAGACAGCTTGGGACACAACAGAGGAATAGGAGCAGGCGGCAGTTCTGATATGAGAAGGACAAGCCCCACGCATCTTAAAGTACCACCTTGGCTCGGATCAAAAGCACACCATCTATGAGGCGGAAGTAGTTGGCCTCTCACTTGCAACGAAGCTCATTGCTATGGAAAGGAACATGACATACCCAGCATCAATCTTTGTAGACAATCAAGCGGCCATACAATATGGTGAGAGTCAGTACATGAACTCAGGCAGTTACTTAGTAAAACATTTCTGCACCTTAACAGTGCAGCTAGCTAATCGCAGAAACACTTGTGATCTCAACTTTGACCTCACAATAAGATGGATCCCAGGACACAAGGGAGTGGCAGGCAATGAGCTAGCGGATAAAGCAGCGAAGGAAGCAGCAGAAGGAGAGAGAAAGTCAAGCGCACATGAACATCTACCATCCTTCCTCCAACTCGGCAAACTCCCAGACAGCATCTCAGACCTGAACACCAGATGGTCAGAAACCTGGAAGAAATCACCCTGCTACACATGGGCATCAACCATTGACCCCAGCATGCCGTCCAACAAATTCATTAAGCTCATTGCCACTCTTCCTAGACGTCAGACCAGTATCATCACCCAACTGTGGACCCGCCACTCCCCCCTCAACCAGCATCTTCATTGCATAGGGAAAAGTGACTCCCTTCACTGCCTGTTCTGCCCAGAAATAGTAGAAACCGTCCCCCACTTCCTATTCAACTGCCTGTCAATACACAAGAGAACGCCACATCCTCTCAAATGCCCTATGCCACAAAGCAACCTCACTCACCTACCTACTTACCTCCAATGACGACACAGTCAGACTGCTCATGCGATATGAAAATGGCATAGGAAGATTTAAAACCACATTTGGTGAGATCCCAGAAACATAATCCTGTACGTAACTTAAGCACACTTCATATATCAACAGGAAAACAAACACAAATAGTTAACACACCAAGCAAATAGACCTCCAAGACTAGAGGGAAAGACTAGCGCTGGCCGCTAAGTCAATGTAGAAGAAGAGAGGTGAAAGGAGAGCATTTTGGACAAGCAGACACCAGGATCGAAGCTGTGACCAAGCCAAAGTCTTGCACAACATCTCACCAATACCCTCCCCAAGCAACTCATTAACTACATCATTCCCTCTGTATGAAATTGGTGTCGGCCCTTGCCCAACAACATACCAACAGAGTACGCATACTAGTATATCCACTCAACAAACATAGATTACCACAAATACGTACAATAGTGTAGTGGGAGTAAGCCCCCCATGTATAGGGTTATGTCCGACATAGGGTCATCAACCCCAAAGGACAATAAACATGGATTTTTTTTAAAAAACAAAAGTTTGTGGCTGAGCTCAAGGAATTCTGCACATATACAACCCATCGTTAGCAAGAACAATTTCAATACAGAGGAAAATATATATTAGCATGTTTGATATCTGATGCAATAATATTCTTCACAGAAAAACCATCCGTGGCAGCGTCAACACCAACTAAAAAGGAGTCAGCTTATCCAAGAAAGTAGACAACGATTCGACTTACAACAACAGCCAATGTCAAGAAATATGGCATTGGGGCACTCGCGACCAAGCTTTAGGATATGTTCATATACTGCGAAATTTGATAAGTTCAAACTGAGCACATTTCCTTTGAATGTGTCAATGCATAAATTAATTATTCACATACTGAAGAAAAACAAATGCATGGACACATGGGTATAGTGCAACCTTGCAGTAGCAGAGCATTATATAACCTACTGTGAGGTCCTCTGGGAATGATTTGCAATGTATGCTTTCGCTTGAACTTCCAGGATATGCCTTTTCAAGTCTTCATCATCATCAATACCAATTTGCGTCTTGAAGAATGCAGCTTGTTCAGCAGACAGACTGTAGAGGCTGGTGTCTACTGTTGGGAATGATGTGGATGTTATGTCGCCCAACAACAAATCCTTGTGTATAGAAGTGCCCTCCATCATGATGGGATGCAGTTTGTCCTGAGGTAGCATTTTAAGGCGACTGACTCTGAGGGTCTTCAGGGTTCTCCCGGCATCAAGAAAACATCCCAGGTCAAGTCTGTTGATATATGATTCCCCACTTCTGATGGGCGATGCACTGCAAGGCTGCGCAATCGAGTAAATAACTTGCAGTGAAAATTGGTATTCAATTAGTTAGACTGCATTCCTACCAGTTCCTGAACTAGCCTGAACTGCGAAGGTGTGCTGACACGAGAGGTGCAGGCAATGACTCCAAGTGATATACAGTCAATCGGACACTACCATGGTGGTCAATGCAAATGACTAGCTGCATATGGAGATTGCCCCACACAAAACTTTAAGTACTAGTTGCCAACGGGATAGTTGGCTGCCTACTGTGATGATTGAATATTGATCCCAGGGATGCTGTCTTTGGGCATCTGGTTCAGGTCAAACTGTGCCTTTGCTACCCTTGCCCTCGTGATGTGCACTGAAGACATTGTCATAGCACCCTGCTGGAGAGTAAAAGCCATATCTGCAGTGGTCGACCAGTCAGCCTTCTTCACAAAGTGAATATATGGAAGTCTCGCGTGTGCGACGAGGTGTCGTTTTTGATATACGCATACCTTACATTGCAATCTGTCAGAAACTATGGGTTATGAGAGAGAACTGGGGTTAGTGTAAGTGCCCAAATGCATGCAGGTGAATATGGTGTGAATGGTAGGGCCGCCATCAAGGTTTCCCTACTACCTGAACCACCTTCTTGGATTCACCCTAGCCTCTAGGAAACACTTGGTCACAGTATCTGTGATGCAGGTCAGTTCAGGAAATCATCCACTTTGTCGTTTTCTTGTTTACATTATCCACCATGGATCAATGAGTGTCACGGGACTCTATAGACATTGGTGTAAGTAGGTCAAGACTGTCATCCCTTAACCATTACACCAAAAGGCAGTGATAATGAAAGCTCATGCTTCATTATCTTGGACAGTATTTATGCTGATTATGGGAACTCAGGTAAGCCACCGGGCTCACAATTGGACAGGTAAATTATTGAGCAGATGGTATAGGGGTTGTGACTGAAAAAAACACCCTCAAATTTCAAATTCAGTCTCTCAATCGAAGGCATTCAGGCGCAAGCTGCTACCAGAATCCACAAGAACATGACACCTGCGGCACGTACGGCGCTAAGCACCACACTGCTGCATACATGCAAGGTAGACGACCCTAATTTCTACCATTACACTAACTGCAACTGCCAAGGGCATGCTTCCTGGAGCAGGGAATGCCCAACTTTCATCGAAAAGTGGGAAAACTACAAAAGACTCAACACCTTCGGCAACTACGGATGACAGCAGCAAGAAGAGGGCTGGCAATGCCAAGACAACAACAGCAACCCAACCCCAACCCCAATTCCAACCCCAACAACACCACAGTACTCAGAAACCAAGCTTGTGTCATGGACAACTGGCTACACCCTTCACAACCCCACATCAACACACCTGCACACCCCACGTCAACACACCCGCACACACCTCCACCACCCACTCATCACTCCTCAAACCACCCATCAAACCACTCCCCTTTGGTTCCCACCTGACTCCTCATCAAGTTTGAAATGCTAACACAGGCAGTCCCCCCACCTCAAGTGTTGACTGATCCAATACAACCGTAATGAACACCCTGAGTACAGATTTCAAATTTTGGCAGTAAAATTCATGCAAATCTTCCAATGCCTGGGAATACATGCCCAAGAACATCAACCCGACGATTGACTTCATATGCATTCAAGAACCCTATCTCAACCCAGTCAGCCTAGTCAATGCCTTAAACCTTTGCCATTACTGGGACATACACCCTGCCCTTGGGCCATGCCCATGTCAAACTTGAGCATGAAGAACTGAACTGATTCAACCTACTTCCACAGCTCTTCATCCCACTCCTTCATCAGTAAACTACTAAACCTTGCACAGTGTTTGCTAATTTTCACAGCTCTCACAGCACCACAGAACCTCACAAAACTCGGCAATGCTGATGTAAGTCATTGTTCAACTTGTCGAAAATTTCGGAAGTCTTTGTTCTACACTTCAACTCTTAACTTCTACCTGCACCACTGCCATCCTTCAAGTAAGTCTTTTATTTTCTTTATTTTCTTATTACTGCTTGCTTATGTTTACCTTAACCACCCTCTCCCACTCTCTTGGCACAGTTGGCAGACTCAGCACTAACTACTTTGACCTTAGTTGATCTGTTCTCCAGCACTGATGGGCCTTGCGCCCTCTCCTCTTGTGCTGTCTCTCATGCTTGTATGCCCCATCTCTCGTGTTCCCGTGCCCTGTTTCTCGCTTGTCTCTCATGCCCCATCTCTCGCCCTGTCTCTCTCGCCCCTTGTGATCTCTTGCCCCGTCTCTTGCCCGTCTCTCATACCCCATCTCTCGCCTGTCTTCTCACCCCATCTTTCGCCCGTCTCCCGTGCCCCATCATGCCCCATCTCTTGCCCATCTTTCTCGCCACTCGAAGGTGTGTTTTTTTATGTATGTATGTATGTATGTATGTACATTACTTACTAGTATTTTCATGCTTGTTTTGTGTTTGCGCTTGTTCGTTCGTGGCACGCACAATACTAACAACTTGTCTTTATGACAGTGCTATCATGACAATGACAGCGACTCAACAACATGACACGACTATGACTATGATGACAACCCGTTCTCTCACACTCTTGCACTTTGATTATCTCACATCCTTACTCACTGTTTGTATTGATGAGTCCAGTAGAGTAGTTGCTTCTTTTGCAATCCATTTGTTTAAATTTAATTTTACATGTTTGACTTGAGTTAATATAAAAATGAAAAAAGCGATTTCTAATATGTTTGGGAAGGTTCTGTGTAACTAGAGGGCTACTGTGGAGCTCTGGGAAGCTCTGTACAGAGCTGTACAGAGATGGGCCTGTTTGTGACAGTGGGACCAAGCTGTGGCTCTGGTGAACTGTACAGCTCTGGGAAGCTCTGTACAGAGCTGTACAGAGATGGGCCTGTTTGTGACAGTGGGACCAAGCTGTGGCTCTGGTGAACTGTACAGCTCTGTACAGACCATTGTGGTTTACTGATGTTCATGGTCCTGCTAGACTAACCCAAAGAGCATATGAATACGAACTATGACGCCAGTGAGTCATATGGTTAAATACGGAAACTATGAGTCATACTTACACAGTGAGGCCCATCGTTGCAGTGTATGCAGTCTTTATGGACTGAGCATAAGAAAGGACAATTGTCAGGGTCACTGGCGGGTATTGATGCTGTAGATATTGATGCTGTCAAACAATGGTGAGGACAAAGGAGAAACACATTGTTTGTAAAGATGTGATATGGGATCAAATAGATCTGAAGGGCAAGTAGGAAGACGGCTTACTTTTATATGCTGTATATTGTTACTATCCCTTACGGTCTATTCGTGATGGACCATCATTTCATGAGTCACACTTTTTGCGGTGAATTTTGTGACATACAGTTACACCATGTGACAAGCCATCACATTTCCATGCCAAAAACACCTGGGTTACCCAATAAGTAAGCCTTATTATACTGGGTGATTCGAGCGCCTCACCAACTATTACATAGCTTAGTTGCATTAAATCCCAACACCAGCATTAAACCCTGCCCTAAATAATGTGCAAGTGATTTCTCTAAGGCTTGTGCCAGAACCAAAATGGGTAAGCAAGGCTTTGTTCCCACACCATGGACAACATTCCTTGCATTGCCAAAATCTTCGTGCTTGCTGTGGGCAACAGCTGAGCTCAATAACTGCTGTATTTTACAGCATTTTCTTGTAGTTTTTTTTGTTGTACTATGTAATTATACATTCAATAACATCCATTTCGCATTTCCAAGCTCTAGTTACTACAAATTAAGTGTATATTAATGTAAAGTGAGTTCAGGTGAGCGGCACACAAAGTGGGAGCTAGTAGAATAAATATATCTCAGGCTCAATGAAAAGACCTAAGTAAGAGCGGGTAAAGTACCTAGTAGAATAAATATCTAATGGTATGTTAGCTCTGTAGAATAACACTAAAAATATATGAGACTTACATCTCAGGCTCTATGAAAAGACCTGAGATGTTCTAACGACTCGACCAGTCCTTTATAGTATGGATAGGATAGATAAGTAAATGATAAGTAAATTGTCTATTACTTAGAGATAGACATTCCAATATTGACGAGCCTCGGCCAACATCAACGCATCGCCTCGTCATACTCACTGGTTGCGCTCGTACTGTTTCACTCTCATTTTCTACAGGTCCGTCTTCTGTTTCCTTCGTTTCACCGGATTCCAACACTCCCCCTTGAGCACAAGGCTCTAAGCTCATCCAAGCATGTAGCTTCTGGAGGCGGGGATGGGGTAATGCGTTGGTGAATGTGTCTGTGACATTATCTTCCGTTGGGCAGTACTCGAGTGCAAATGTGCCGTTCTTGACATGCGCATGGACAAAGTGGTATCATAAGTCAATATGCTTGGTATGCGAATGAAACTTGTTGTTTGATGCGAGAGCTATTGCAGCTTGGTTATTGCAATATACGGGGGTGGGAAGTTCAACTGGTCCATAGAGTTCATCAAGGAGTAGCTGTAAGTAGAGCACTTCTCGTGCTACTGTCGTAAGCACAATATACTCAGCTTCTGCGGTTGACAGCACTATCAGCGGCTGTTTGCATGTGCTCCATGCTACGGGTCCTCCATTTAGCATAACAACATAGCCTGACATCAAGTGTCTGTGCGGCTGGGATGCCCAGTCTGCATCAACATATGCTTTGATCCCAGCATCTGTGCCTCCTAGGATGAGTCCAAGATTGGCTGTACCTTTAAGGTACCGAAAGACGCGTTTGTTGGCTTCCCAGTGCACTTGTCTGGGGTTGCACATGAATTGAGATAACGTAGCT